GGGGGGGGCACCCCTTTTATGACTGACAGTCATAAGCGCGCGGAATTTACGAGTTGTTGATAAAAGTGTCGGCCTGGCTGCGCGGGGCGGCCGGCGGAGAGGCTTGCACGCCTCAGTGCAACGGTAATGTGGTTACTGCTCCGACCGCTTCATGGTTTTCGTTTTGCGGCACGCGGGCGGCAGGTCAGCGCGTATTACCGCCCCCCTCCCCCCACCTGGGACGAGCGGATGGAGGGGGGGTAGGTGGAAGTGGGGGGACTAAACGGACGTGTGGTAAAAGAACTTCATTTACATACCTGCACCGCGGCGGTGTGGTGTATCCGTATAGCGTTATCCACATGCACCGTCGGGGGGCCACTCAGTAACTCTAGCTCTCACACACACACACACACACGCGCGCGCGCGCGGGCGCACACTCACACGCGCTGCCGTGCGCGCGGCGCGGCGTGCTCCGGCTCGTCGCGTCCGGGCTGCTTGCAAGCGGCGTGCGCGGCGCGGGGCGGGCGCCTTGCTGCGGCGAGGGGGAGAGGGAGACTGAGCCCGGCGCTCCAGCCGCGTAGCCGTGGCCGCGCCGCCCTCGCCCCCACCACCGCCGCGCCCGCCCCGCCCCGCCCCGCCCCGCAGGTGGCAGTAAGTGAAGGAGACTCCACGTAAGTGAGGCGCGCTGCGCTGGCCCTGCCGTGGTGTGTCGTCGTGTCAAGACATCCATTTCTTCCAGCAACACCGTAATGATTCAGACAGACGGTGTCTTCTACTTCAGGGGTATAAACAAGTTACCCTTTTTGTGACCAATGCTGAAAACAAAAGTATTTTATTTGTATAATCCAGCGGAAAAACTGTTCTTGTTGTTTTGATCCATCCTGCTCCACCACCTTGCTAGATATTTCTAACTGTAAATACTTTGCTTTTACAGTATGAACTGTTTGACTTAAGTTGTACAGATAGAATTGGCATCCTGTACATTTCGATTTGCAGAGCTGGTTACACATCGCTTCCATAAAGTTTACTTCATGTAATATTAAAAAGAACATATGTTCTTCTGATACACTTTTAAATTCCTGCAAAACAAACTACGAAGTATTTCGGTTCTTTGTAACTACGAAGCACAAAGCATTTACTTTGTAATTACGAAGTCAATGCTTCGCTTCGCAGTAACAAAGGATCTAAATACTTCGGAGTTCTGCAAACACTGGAAAAAACAAAGGTGCGAATCCCTACCTTTAAAAGCACTAAATGTGACCTTTCACTCCATAGCTTCATATGAGTTCCATACATTAGTTTAGTGCCTTTCGAAAGGCACGAAACTTTAGTGCCATAGGAAAGGCACTAAACTGCGCCCTTGACTTTAGTGCCGCGGGAAAGGTGTTGTTTAGTGCCTTTGTTTGACCAGTGAAACATTGGAGCATTCCTTTGCAGGACTTTAACAGTGTCGAGAAAGAACATTTAGTTGTTTGCATTGTAAACTTGTCTATCGCCCCTCAGCATAGAGACTAATCCAGAAGGGGTGGGTTCATCGAACCCCTCTTGGACCTTAGACAAAACGCCTTGCTTGGTAAGCAAGAAGCTCGACCTTCCCCCTCCCTCCTGTTCGACCCCGGCCTGCGCGGCGTCTCGTCCCCAGGACTACCCTGCTTGCGAGTAGCTCGCAGAAGGACATGCTTGCCGAGCACACGACCGTCTTCAAGAGGACCAAAATGCTCAGTGGATCACGAAATTAACATTTTCCGGCGCGATAACGGCGCAGATTAAAACAGGGAAGTTTGCGTGAGCGTGACACCGTCGCTTTTGAAAATTGCGAGAAGCAGAGGACGCTACTTACGCGAGCGGCGAGGGTGGGGGTGTGGGTGAGGACGGGGCCGCTAGAGGAAGGGGAGCGGTAGGAACTGTTGCGCGCTTAGTAGATTCACAGTGTGGTTCCCTGCAGAGCTTTGTTGTTTTTGTTGTTCGCAGAAAGGGTCGGCAGGGCGAGCTTGTACGGCGGTGAACCAACCCCTCTGAGGATTCCGCGAAAGTGACCTCTGCCCGCTCCACCCGCCCCCACTCCTTGCTCCTCCGCACCGCACTGACTTCGGCCCAAAGCCATAGAGCCGCGTGTTTGAGCGAGACCGGCTGGGCTTGCTGCCGTGTGGTATAGGCTCCCTCACGACTCTATTGTTCAGGTGACAATTGGAGCCTCCTCGGTCGGCCCGGGCGCCTGTCGGCCGCGCGGTAGGCAGGCCCGCGGAGCACGGCCGCCCGGCGGGACTGCCTGCCCGGCGGGCGCCGTGGAGCCGAGAGCGAGCGAGCGACCAGCGACCGGCTCATTCACGGCCGCCCCGCCCGCCTTTGTCCGAGTCAAAAGTTTTGATGTGCATCTGGACCGAATTAACCCACATTCAATTTAACCGCGCGCACACGCTTTCGAACGGGGGCCTCCGCTCCGCCTGCAGAACATTAAAGTTCCAGGAAGGAGTCTGGTTTTTAGGCTAGAGTTGTATGGTTGTGATCGATTATTTTTTTACACCTAGAACGGTCAGAGAGAACACTAGAGAGTAAATATGTACGGAGGGAAGCACTGTTAATGACAATTCTGGGATTTCAATGAGGAGCACTGGTTAAAAATATACCGTAAGTCCTTTGGGATTTCCCAGAGGACTCAATAGATTTCACGTGTCGAGTTCAGCTTCGAAACTAATACACGACTAATAACTCTCTACCTTCAAAAGATCTGTGAATTTCCAGTAGTGGCAGAGAGTGAATCTACGAGGAAAACAGTGTGGTTACACAATGTAGACTTTCAGCTTTAGACACTTTTAAGTGCTCACCTGCTGAACAATTTTAAGTTTTCAAATTTCTACTACAACATGCAAGCGCGCGCACCACGACATTGAACACACACCACCATGTGCAACAGGCTGCACACTTTATTTTCTATAAGTGTATTGTCAAGTGCCATTGCGAGTCGGGTCAATTTTAAAGTGTTCGTGTCAACTCCTTCACGGAAAAAACGGATTTGTTCCCCCAACTAACGATTTTATTAACATTGACATGACAAACAATTTGCTATGGGAAACAAAATTCTTCTGCAACAACTATAGTTGTGCCTGAAGAACTGTTAAAAATATTTTGTGATTTCCTAACACTTTCACGCGACGCGTTTCTTTTCGGTTCCCGTTTCGGTTCCCATAGCAAATTGTTTGCTCCTGCAACTAAAAATTATTTGCTTTGTCTATGTTAACAAAGTGGTTACTGTAAAAAGCTTGCGAACTAAATAATTTGCAACGATACGAACAATTGTCGTTCTTTGTGTTGCAAAGAAATTGTTTGTATTGCAAAGCGATTGTTTGTAAAGCTAGACAGGGTCGTACGAACAATCGGTTTGCACTACGAACTATTTATTCGTAAGCTTACAAACAATTAGTTCGTAATAAAACGCTTCAAAGTCCTTCGTAAGCTACGAACGTTTTGGTTTGCATTACGAACCTAATGTTCGCAACAATTTACAGTGGTTAGTTGTTAGGAACAAATTCTTTTTTCCGTGTTTAAGCGTGCATTTGTATCACCTCGCGTGAATTCACGCACAGTGTCGGTGACGCTGCGCCCGTGAGTGGGTCAGCGGGGTGTGGCTGCAGCGTTGTGCGTTGGGTCCAGAGGTGGCCCAGGGCCGAGCCCCAGGCCCCAGGTCACCCCAGGTGGGACGCTGCGGCTCTCGCACGTGCGTCCCGCGGGGCGGGCGAGCCAAAGTCGCAAGGCCGCGCCGAAGTGATTCCCTCTCGCGCTGGGCTGCGCAGCGCAGGTGCGGACCACACAGTAGTAGTGCGCTGCAGCCTCTCATATCCACCTGGACTTTTTTTCTCTGTCTCTCTCTTTCCTGCTCCCTTTTCCAGCGTCTCGTTCACGACGCGACCGCGCGCTTATCCAACCCTGGCGCCTCGGGGCGCCCAGCACCAGGACGATTGCAGCACGCCACACTGTCAATCTCTCTCGCCTCTCTCTCTCTCTCTCTCTCTCTCTCTCTCTCTCTCTCTCTCTCTCACTCTCTCGTTCACGACGCGACCGCGCGCTTATCCAACCCTGGCGCCTCGGGGCGCCCAGCACCAGGACGATTGCAGCACGCCACACTGTCAATCTCTC